GTGTCTGATGGGGACCTGGAGATGTCTTGCCTATGGGATCTGATAGGATGACACTGGGGGGCCTGGAGCCTTCCTGTCCAGGGGGGAGTCTCACTAGGAACAAGGGGTCTGCAGCTGTCCTGTCCATGGGGTCTGATGGAGAAGAGAACTGGCTGCCAGCTTGGGAGGATCCTGATGTCCCCCAGCCCTGAGGAGTCTGACTGGACCAGATGCTGGCTACCTGCCCAGGGAGCCTGAATCCCCCCTGCCCAGGGAATGTGGCCAGGACCCTCTTGCCATTGCCCTCAGGCCCTTGCTCGCCATGAGCGTCCATTTGGCCCTGGCCCCATTAAACCTTCTCTGAAGGGCCTGTCCCTGGCTGCTGTTCCTGTCATGGCCGAGCCGTGACAGCCTGTCCGTGGCTGGCTCTGGCCTCCGGAGAGGGAGGTGTTTCTCTTCCGAGGAGAGCTGTTTATGCCCAGTGATTTTTTTTTTTTCTATTTTTTTTATTTCTTTCCCCTCCCTCCGTGCTCTCCACAGCAGCAGCTCGGTGTCTGCCCAGCCGGCAGTGTCACGGCACGGCTCCTATGTAGGTGAAGCTGGGGAACGCTGCAAGGATCATGTGGAGCTCTCAGTCTCCTGAGCCTGGAGCTTTGAGCCTATTTATAGGTGGGTTGGGCAGTGTTCCGTGTGAAGGGCTTGCTCCATGTTGGAATCCGTGGCAAAACGAGGTGTCTTAACCGACGATGTTTTGGTTTTGGGTGGTTGTTCTGGGAATGGGGTTTTACGAAAGGCTCTGGAGCACGGGTTGTTAGTAGGTTATGTGGAGAAAGGCGAGTCAGTTTGGAGTTAAGGAACGTGATGCCATTTTAATGCAACTTCTCGGGTGGCAGAGCAAACAGTAAGGGGATACTCGGTTCTAGATCAGCAGCTTTCGGCTTTGCAGGCAATAGACAACTCAGGGTCAGTGAGAAGCCACAGAGGAAAGGACATTGTGTTTTCTGTAGGCTTGTGCTCATTGTACTGTTTTCTGCACTGCTACAGATTTTGTGGCCGACAAGCTGAAAAAAAAATGGAAATCCACTATTCTAGATCCTGAGATGTTTTGGGTTAGAATAAGTGGAGGAGGGGTGGGGAAAAAGCCCTCAACTGTGTGTTTTGTTGCGTATGTTTCTATTGTAGAGCTTAAAAATGTAAAATTCAGTGTATTTTTAAGAGTTACATAACCTTTAGTAACGTGGTGAGTCTCAAGTAGCCTTCGAGAGTTAAATAACAGCAGATCAACGAGACTGGGTTGAGAAGAGGAAGAGAGGGTTTTATAACGATGAGGACTATACACAGATATTTAAAACTGCTTTGGTGTTGCACTAGAAACAAATCTTTGCTTAGGAGGAGGAGGTTTTTAATACCCTATAAATGCGGAACATGAGAAGGAGGATGGAAAGATGAGGTTTGCAGTTTTATGCTGCTCTAGTCCGGTAAACGGATCAGGAATAGTTTATGATATTTAACATTCTTCAGCTTCTCTTCCATCTTGACTTTTTCAGTACAATTTTTTGCAATCTGAAGTGATGACAACTTCCAGATACTGACCGCTGTGGGTGAGGAAGGAAATCTGGCCTTAATATAACAAGAAATTACAGAAAGGAGTGAGGGGCACTGTAGTGGTGAAAGAACCGGGGTGGTGACACATGTCCTGAGACAGCGCTGGTGCTTTGTGTTGGTTACAGGAGTAATTCGACACGGTGTTACCTACAGAAAGATGTTTATTCAGCCGAGGTGGTTCGTGCTGGCATATCAGTGTTATCTTTGTATTTTTTTTTTTGTGGGGGGGAGGAGGGAAATAGCCCTGCCTTAATAGAGGAAATTGCTGGGGAGCAGTTGACGTGCTGGAGATGTGAGGATACCTGGAGGTGTGCAGCATGCCAGCACCTTGGAATTAGGAGTGTACGTGGAAGTGCTGGCGTGGAATTGATGCACCAGGAAATTGCTTTCTCTCGTTTTTTGTTGGTGAGATGCAGTTAACATAAAATGAGCCCTTTGGATCTCCTATCCCATTTCTCTTTAATATAACTAAGATAGTTTATCTTCTCAGGCAGTGAAAAGGGGGAAAAAAATACTTTTGTTTTGTAATTTGGTTCACCTTCTCTTCATTTGCTGTCGGCTCATGACAAGGCACAATGTGTGCTGCACACTGTGTTCCACTGAGGTGTTTTGGTGACAAACACAACGTATATTAAAAAAAGGGCTATGAAAAATAGGTATTGTGCTAGTTCTCACCACTTTTTATAGAAACAATCCCCATATTTCTTTAAGGTTCACAAAAAGTATCATATTAGGGTCTTATGCCTTGGTAATTTCAGTGGTAAAAAGGTCGATGTTTGGTCTTTTTAATTATTCAAAAGGGAACTGAAAAGGAAATATTTAAATTGGTGTTTGTGTTGGTTTTGCAGTAGGAAGTAGTAAAACATTTTGTCAGTTTTAATAAAAAGGGAAATTGTGAACGTACTTTAAAAATGTGATTGTTTATGCTGTATGAGTCTGATATATTGTTAAAATTAAGAGAATTTCTTTAATCCAAGCTACATTCTAATTGTTGTAATCATGTGTTTACTATATTTCTTTTGTATTTATAAATAAAAACACAGAATCATGTCTTTTTGACCTCGTGTATAGCATGACTGGCTGTAGTTCATGCCATATTTGCATGTTTTTTTTCCATAAACATCTTGCTCCTGGAATTATTAGCAGCACCATAATAAGAGCTTGAAAATACTGTCACATAAAGAGTTAGAGCACTTGCAAGCAAAAATGCTGAAATTCAAAGTTAAAAAAAAAAACCAGCTTCTCCCCAGCAATTCTTTCAAGTCAGTTTGATGACAATTTTGGTTTTCTAAATGGCTGGAGATGGAATTAATGGGGTTGCAACTCTTTGTCATGAATTTCAGCATAAACAATATTTTGCTTTCGGCTTTGGATTTCATGCAAATACAGGAAAAATCCCCTGTCCTTTTCCAGTCCCTCAGGATGCTGCACCTCAGCCAGCAGACGTAGTGTTGTTGTCTTAACAGCGAGGCTGGAAATGGGAGTTGTTTGTGCTGAATTTTACCCTTACCAAGGTCAGAGATTTCATCCTTCCGTAGATTCCTGATCTGGGAATTTTAACACTTACAGTGGGTCCTGATTTAGGAATTTTCATTAACTTCTTTGAGCTCTGGAAGGAATTTAAATGTCCCTGTATTATGCTTCTTCCCAAACTTAAGTTTGGAAATTCCTGAAATAGTGACGTCTGTGTGGCAG